ACCCCTGAGCCCTCACTCCTTATTCCCTCCACTGCCAACAAATGAGCCCTCTTTCAGACTAATCTTCCCAAATGTTTTTGCCATCATGTCAGCTTTCTCCTCTACTCATAAACATTCCACCTAAATAATAACATCTCCTACATGTTTTCCAGGACTTCCCATAACACAGATCCAACTCATCAAACCATTGCGATTTAGTGGTCTTTTCCATATTGCATCCTCCTCACCATTGTAACTGTATTAATCTGCTCTTTGCTCTTTGCCACCACCTCCCGCCACCCCCACCCCCAGGTTTCTCTTCCTGCTCATCCGGACCCATGCACCAAGGCCACACCAGCACACATCCAAAACAGAATCTTATAGCCCTAGCCAGTTTGGCTCAGTGGATAAGCACCAGCCCTTGGACTGAAAGGTCCTGGGTTTGATTCTAGAAAGGTATCTCTGTAGGACCTGCCGCTGTGATTTTAAGTATGTTACATATTTTCAACAACATTGTATATCACATAAAAATGTAATTCACTTACAATATTACAACATATATAATTTTTTGAAACAGAGCCAAGATAATGTAAAAGAAAAATGATTGGAAAGAAGTCATTAGCACTCAGAGTAAGCTCTTTATTTATTCTCAGGTTAGTTATAAACTTCTTTTAACTACTCCAATATTTCTACCTGCATGCTAAACACTATTCAATATTTCTACCTTTTAATAATAAAACCCTATTCATAAAATCATAAATGGAGCTTAAATGATAGGTTAATACTTTAAGTAAGTGGTCCCTGATCATGTAGTATTGTGTGTTTAGGTTAAAAATCCTTCTACATAAAAGAAAATTCTCAGAAAAGGCCCAAGCAAGTTGCTTAAATATCATTATATCTTTACATTTAGAAATTAACTGAAAGTCAAAAATTCTGAAAAGATTATTATTAAAGTTCAGCTGATGTGCTTTAGCTCCAGATGTGATATTTTCACTTTGAGATATTAATATGATACCCAAGTAATTTATATAAGAATACAAAAAAGCAATCAGCTACATAGAAAAGTACTGAATCCATAATAAATGTTTAAGATTAATTTTTCCAAAGATGTACTCTGGAATATTCAAGAACAGTAGGCATGACTATCCCAGGCTTAATATGTTTATCAACCCAAAGGAATAATTAACATTCTGTTTTAACTTTTTCCTCAATATTTTTTATTTTTATTGTTGAAAGTATAACAGATGTCCCTTTTTCCCCATTGACGCCCCTCCACACCACTCCTGCCCTCCCCAGGACTTCCCCCTCACTGTTGTTTGTCTATGGGTTATGCATATGTTCATAGAGGTTCTTTGGTTAATTTCTTTCCACTCTTGTCTGTCCCGGGCCCCGGCCCTTTCCTTTGAAATAGGTCAGTTTGTTGCATGTTTCACTGTCTCTGGATCTGTTTTGTTCATCATTTTATTTTGTTCATTAGATTCCACATATAAGTAAGACCATGTGATACTTATCATACACTAAAGGAATGAAACGATATCCTGATCTAGCAGAAATTAAATGAACCTTTTTTTACTGCTACTATTAGGCCAATATTATTCTTTATAGAAGTAACTTTACAGTTTTCTAAACCAATTCCACTTATTACAGATGTTAATAAAAACATAAGGCGGTATATAATGAAACTCAGATGCATCTTCATTGTCAAATTTATCTTCCATTTTCAAATGTACAAAACTATATTTCTTTAGAAATAAATATAACATTTTTGTACTGTGGATTTTTTAGACATTACACAAATCCTTCTAGTAGCTTTTTTTTAGCCCAATCTGTTGTTTCTAATAATTTCAGTATTTAAGTTATCAAACACTTCAGAGTTAATTCTGATTCTCAACTTTCATGAAAATAAAAGCTTCTAAAATGAGGAAGAATTGATTTGTTAGAGAATCTAAAACTTAAAGTTAAGAAAGAAAAATTAATTTACATAATTAGTTAATTAAATGAACTAATGAAGTTAAAAACCATAAATCATTATTTTAAAAAAGAGAGTCCTACCCTAGCCGGCTTGCTCAGTGGATAGAGCGTTGGCCTGCAGACTGAAGGGTTGAAGTTTGATTCTGGTCAAGAGAAATGCCTGGGTTGTGGGCTCATCCCAGTGTGTATGTGTGTGGGGGGGAGGGTCATGCAGGAGCAGCTGATCAATGATCTCTCTCATATTGATGTTTCTATCTCTCCCTTCCTCTCTGAAATCAATAAAAATATATTTTAAAAAAAGAGTCCTCATGCCCTATTTCCTTTTTCCTTTCTGGATAAAAAGATGATTTTCTTAGGAAAGTTTTATTTAAGGATAAAGTGGGCTGGCCTCTTTCTTTTTTTCTCCTTCTCCTTTTTAAATTCCCTCTTGCAGAATGATGTGTCTGTCACCAGCACTACTGCAAGCAGGAACTCTCCATGTGGTAATAGGCTAGAAATCCAGAGGTGGAGTGAGAAGAAGAAAAACACCTCGTATTAAATTCCATCATGTGTTGAGCTTTGTTTTTACTACTCTGGCTTAGAACCTTAATCAGCTAACGCCAACTATTCTAAATGTCCTCACTGCCCACTAATCTCTGTTTTCAGATAGGAAATTTCTTCCTCCTGAAATTGAAAGTCATGGCATCAATCACACATTTTAGGCAAAGAAAAAAACAAAATCCATTTTAAAACGTCAGAGAATGTAGGACACTTAAAATGTTGATGATATTACATTCAAACAACTGTACTACATCTCTCTAATGAGCTAGATCAGGAAATTGCTGTAGGGTTTAATGATATGCTACTAAGTTATTTTGCATTTCAGCAACCACTATATATTTTGATATGATCTTAGCAAATAATAGTCCTGTAGTTAAAGCAGAAATTTAAAGACAACATTCTATCAACTATGATTTAATTTGTCTAGCGTAGGATGCTAAAATCACAGTGTTTATGCTCATAAAAATATTTTCATACTTTTCTTCTTTTCTGCCAGAACATTCATTTTTTTCATTGGATGGACATTCTTATCACAGGAAATAAGACAGTTTCTTTCATTAGTCAATTTATTCATTCTATCTCTAAATGTTTAATTTAATACCAATCACAAGGTCATAAGTCTGAATAAAGCAAGGTCCCCACTCTCATTACTCACTAAGAGGTAAGATTTTTAAATGAAAATTTAGACTGTGAAAATTGCTCGAACACAGCTAACCGTGCTGCAGTAGATCTATGCTGCTCTGATGAAGCAAAGAAGCTTCATAAAGACCAACTTGAACAGATTGTACACTGGGGAGAGTTCCATGTTTTCATTACTATAAATTGCTAATTTAAGATAATAAAGTTTCAGTCCAGTAAACAAAACTACTGAGTTTCTATATGTGCCAAGAATTTTTATTATTGGGGATTCAAAGACAAATGAGACACAGAATTTGTCCAGAAACAGTGGGGAAGACAGAAGTGTCAAGACAAAACGATAGCCATATAGTTCCAAAAAATGTATACACACACTTTGAATAATTATAAAGGCAGTGTTTATTAAAATACATTTCACTTTCAAAATTGAGCTATCAGCTGTTGCAATATATATACATTTTTGGGGGGGACACCCTACATATATACATTATATTATGTATTATGTAGAATGCTAATATATAATATCAATGATTATTTAATTACTAAATCCAAGAAGGTAAACCAATATTTTAAAAGGTAAATATTTTGTTTGTTTTTTAAATACTGAAATGTTGTTGCATCTTTCATTCAACAAATTGGCTTGATCTGTTTAATTTGAACTTTCATTGATGTAGTGAGCTTTTCATGTCAATACCATAAAGAAAAAGCATTTCTTTCAATTAAATCAATGTTTGGCAAACATTCTTTACAAAGGGGCAAATAGACAAATATGTCCATTTTCTGATTCCTTCATGCAATTTTGGAGCTCGCTCTTTTCATGGTGTTTTTCTCAGGATCCTTCCCTCCATCAAGCTTTCAGAAGAGGGAGGGGGCAGAGAACAAAGACTCAAGTGAAGGGTAGAATTTCCCTTTCAGTCCATCCCCAGGACCCTCCTCCTGCATTGACTCCCAGTGGCCTCTTCTTTCTGGCTTCTTCCACTTAAAATGAGTTCACTCTTTTAGATTTCACCAGAACCATTCATCAGGCACCAACAGTGGGCCTTGCCCAGAGCCTGTTCTTCCTGGGAATCTACGCCCACTGAGCGCTTCCAGCCACGGCTCCTACTGAGGATTCAGGGCAGTTCCCCATCACAGAAACACAACAGGGAGTTCAGCAGAACATACCAAAGTGATCCTTTTTATGAAAAATAAGTGGAAGTGGTCTACTGTGTAACAGAGACTCAAGTAGCTGTTTTATTTTCTTCTGAAGAGACTCACTGGGATATACTCATGGTGATATCAGAATCTTGTTACTTTAATTCCTCACTTGGAAGTAACCTCTGATGTTTTGAGTGTTTAGGGTTTCTTTTTAATATTAATTTATTTTGCAAAGGTTATCAGCAGGCAGGAGTTTTATGGTGAGGGTTTACAGGTACAACATGTGGATTATTTTACCAAGCTAATGCATTTGATGTAAGAGACAATTGAGAAATGAAATCAGTCACCGTTGCAGGATGTTCTGTTTACCATGAAATATTTAAACAGGTGAGATATTGAAGCATGCCTAGGACAAACTGTTCTGTACCTGGGTATCACACAGACGTTATATTATACATGACCCAGTAGGACATCAACAAGAACATGGCATCACTCTGAGCAATGCCACCCAGTGCCTTCTGTTGATACTGTTTTGAGGACTTTATTTCAGAAAAAAAAGTGTGAGATTAATCAATCTAAAAGCTAAAGCTAAGAATTAGCTATCTCTAACAA